CCCCAAAACCCCAAAACCCCAAAACCCCGAGATATATAATAGAACGTATTAAAAAATATTTAGTCAGTTTAATTATAAATAATGCAGTACATCAAACGAATTAATCAAATTTAATTAAGGAATCAAAATTTGCTTAAACCATAAAATTTTCTATTTGGCTCCTGCATAAAGCCAAAGTTACATCAAGTAATTGAAGAGAGGAAGGAGATTTTCGATTGATTAAAGAAGAATTCTCAGCAAGTGAAGGTTGAGGATGTTACTGTAGGTACTATTATAGGTGGCATGAGAGGATTGACTGGCTTATTGTATGAGACATCAAAATTACACCCAGTAAATGGAATTACTTACAGAGGAAAGGACTTAAATGAGATTATCAAGTAAAGTCCAAGAGCATCAGGAGGTACTCAGCCCACCCCTGAAGGAGTACTCTGGTTATTGTTGACTGGAGTCTACCCCAATTAAGAAGAGGTTAAAACATTTTAAGAAGAGCTATATCAAAGAAGTCATTTGTCTGATGAGACAGAGACTTTGATTAGAAATCTTCCAGAAAAAATGCATCCGATGACGAAATTTTCAATAGGAGTGATGTCTTGTCAGCCAGATAGTAATTTCGCGAAAGCTTATCACAAAGGGGTACCCAAAAAGGAATATTGGGAACATACTCTTGAGGATTCCTTAGACATCTGCGCTAAAGTTATATAATTAGCAGCAGTCGTATATAACTCAACTTATAATAGAGTAAGAATCTCTAGTCTTATTTATCTATTCTAATTAGGGGAAGTAGCTTCCTGGGCCAGATCAGGATCTAGATATGAGTGCTAATTTAGTTCAAATGATGGGTTTTAGTGATAAAAGTTTCTATGATCTGATGAGATTATATCTGGTGATTCATGCGTAAGATTCTATTAAGTTCTAATTTTAACCATTGCAGTGATCATGAAGGAGGAACTGTAAGTTCTCATACTGCCCATTGTGTAAATAGTGCTTTATCAGATCCTTATTTAGCTTATTCAGCAGCTATGAATGGGTTAGCAGGACCATTACATGGCTTAGCTAATCAAGAATCTCTTAATTTCTTGTTAGATTTTGAGAAAAGATTTGGTCATATTTGGACAGACAACGATATTGCCAACTATGTTGAGGAGATACTCTCTGAAAGTAGAGTAATCCCTGGTTATGGTCATGCGGTTCTGAGAAAAACAGATCCAAGATTTATACATTTGCTTGAGTTTGCTGAGAAAAATATCGAGGAAAATAACTTGATAAGATTACTTAATCAGTGCTATACGGTGATACCGAAAATTTTAGATAAACATAAAAAGATAAAAAATCCTTGGCCAAATGTTGATGCAGGCTCTGGAGTAATGCTGTTGCACTATGGATTGAATCATTAAGATTTCTATACTGTATTGTTTGGTGTGTCAAGAGCTCTTGGAATAATGTCATCCTTAGTTTGGAGTAGAGCTTTTAATCTCCCTATTGAGAGACCAAATTCAATCACTCTAGATTTATTATTAGAGAAGGTATCCAGTGGAAAATGATTAAAATTATTCCTGATTTAACAAGATTTATGGAAATTTAGCATCACTTTTTAAAATCATTTAATTGAATTTCCATGTCACTCATTTATTTATTATTTTACAGTCTCAAATAGATCTAAATAACCATCTATTAATCTTACAGCTCTTTTGAATTTATTCTCCTAGAGCCTAAAAGGGTCTGTGCAAAAATCTATAACCATAGCAAACTCCTCATCTTCCTTATCACACCAAGCTTCGCACCACAGCCATTTTTTATGAATAGTGTGAATTTGCACTTAATTTTGGATGTAGTTGACTAAATCCTAATCCAAAAGCCCAAGATTCTCATTTAACTCATCTTTTTATAGTCTCTAATATGCCGATCTAAGCAAATCTCCATAAATATTGTATCTGAATTTAGAAATATCAGCAATGAATAAACCACCGAAATGATAATCTAAACCTCTCTCTTGCAAAAGTTATTTCCAGTACTGAGAGATAAAGTATGTCTGTAATAATCTGCAATGGGAAACAAATCCATAAGGTTTGTCCATTAAATCAACCTCAAATAGTTCCTTAATATTTGTAAAATCTTTAATTGCTTAATCAGCATCCATAAATATTACTCTGTCCACATCTTATGGAAAGAGTTAATCTAAAAATAACACTCGGTAAAAGATGAAATTTCTTCCAGGTTGAAAATCCCTTTATAAAATAACCTCTGGCCATTAATAATTTAATAATTCATAGTCAAAACTGAGTTTCTCACTTAGAGCATTAAGATTTTATCTAAAATCTGGACTCATATATTGATTTTCAATGAAGTAAAACTTGAAACTATTTTACCCTTTGCTAAAATTCAAAATAGAATAGATTAGTATGAGTAGTTAGGACTCATACATACTACCGCTTATTTGAAAAAATAGGTTAATAGGATTGCCAAGAGATTTTTCTAACTTCTAGAATGAGCTAATTTGCTAATGATAAACAAAGTCTAAACTATCGTTCTTTAAATTTGGTTCCAAATTTAATTCATTCTCAAAAGTTGCATCATAATTTTAGTTTATCATTTCTTATTCTTAGAATTATTAGGTTTGGAAATTATACGTAAAAGATATTTACTGCAAATTTTTTGCATCAATTATTTTGCCTTAAAAGTCTAATCTATATTTGTTTTAGTCATCCTCTTTCAAAATGTAATACCTTCCAGGGTTTTAAACTCTAATATAAAGATAGTTTAGCATATTATGAGTTATTTATTTTACTCCTCTGTGATCTCTGATTATAAATGCGTTCTTAGTAGCAAAATTATTTTCTTAAACCCCTATGTCAGACTATTTTTAAAATAGCTATACTACTTAAGAAATCTCCTTTAGTTGAAAATCTAGTTTTAATTTATGATCGTATTTTTTCCATCTCCCGTTATCAAGCTCCAAACTAGAATTAAATCCAAAAACTTTATGAGAGATGCTAATATTTCTAATATCATCCTTGATATAGGAGAAATAATGGCTGATATTTTTTGCAATGAAATTCAAGCCTTAAATTTGGTCAATATCAAAAAGAATATATCTAAATTCAGTGTCGATATTCATAATTTTACTGCTTTTTTTAATGCAATCAATTTAATTGGTATCATAGTACAGTCGATAGTAATGAAATCTGATAAGATTATTTTCTAGTCCAAGCTATCTCTCAGAGTCAAAAATGTAAAGCTTCATGTCTATATTATCTTGCTTAAATTAGTTGAGCACTGATAATACTCTGACATAATATTTTTACATCAAATGAGCTTTCACTTAAATTTGCAAAGGGTAACTATTTTAAGTTTTATTAGATTTATTGTCTAAGTAAAATTCTTTTTTGATTAGTGACTAGGACTAAGCCAGCTCTAATTGTTTCGTTATATTAATATTTACATTTTGTTCGAGAATACCTAAGAAATAAATTTTCCTCATAAGCTAGGAGATTGATTTATTCTAATCTAAAATAATTCCATTAAGAAGTTGATTAATGATCTCCTCTTCTGATTTTATCAAACTATTTAAATGCTACTAGCTCTAAATAATCCCATCTATAAGTCTACCATTTATGTATACTTAATCCTGATTATCAAGTATTTTGATTTTCAGTTTACTCAGAATTATGTTTTTAATTTTTTTAATATAGGTACACTATATATTTTAGCCATATCCATTCTAAAATGATTGATAAATATTATTTAAAGGACTAGACACGGAATATCCATTTTATTCTTTTAATCTAAATATGACTTCAAATTCAATGTTTCTTTAATTGTCTTTATTTTCAAAAATATCTTCGTAATCCATAACTATATTTGATCTGAAAATCTCACCTTGTCTGTAGTTATTTGTGTCTTTATTAAATACCTATGTCCTGATTAGATTCTTATTGAATTCAAAATACACAGTCCTGAAATCAGAGTCTTAATCTATATATCCATCTTTGAACAAATTTACAGTGTTTTCTGCATTATTTTAAATAACTTCTTTTAGATATTTATAAATATAGGATTCACTTTGATGAGTTAAGACCAATAATAGCTAGCTTTAATCAATCACTACTCCATTTATGATCATAGTGGGAAATACACAAATATTGGTATTTTCACAAGATGATATTGAATTTTAAGTTAGTATCTCCATATCATTGCTAAATTTAAAATTGGTATTATTACAAATCTACTATATACTAGTATCATTAAAAGCTAATATTTGTTCTAAAATACTTAGTCTTTTTTTAATTCTCAACTAGTTTAGACACTAATAAAGATTTCTAATATTATCCTTAGATGTAAGAGAGTTGGAGATATTTGTATAAGAGAACTAAACGCTCAATTAGAAAGAAATCAAGTTCTTATTCATTTAAATCAAGGTGCTAATAAGCTTTTACTGCTCTCTGTTGTTATTAATGTCCAAATGCAAAATTATATTGATAGCATTGGATTTTATTCTTAGAGTGTCCCTATAATCCTATTGACTCATGAAGTGAGGGAATATAGTAGATTCCTAAATTTCTGTCCTTTCATCAAAGTTCATGTCATTTAAACTTATATAATGATCCTCAAACCTCCCATTCAAGTAAGGTACGAAAATTGTCCTCCTTCTATTATATAAATACTCTAAAACTCTTTAATTAAATAACCTGTATTATTCCTCGTCTATGAAAAATGATTATAGAATATTTGAATCTCGTTCTATTTGTTATAATTCTTTATCTAAATTCCTGGCCTCCGTATTTGTCAAGCCTAGTTCAATATATCTGTGGTTAACTATCATAAATTCTTTTTTAGTTATTTAACCTTTTAAATTACTTGGCTTATATCTCAAAATAGCTGATTATTCAAAGAAATTTAAACTTGGAGTGTTTTAAATGACATTAGTGACTTATTGAAGACTTTCAGATTCCTTGATTTGATTGATGATAGCATTTTTAAACTTATAGTAAATATCTTTATCCTTTATGATTCTATCTGTAAATAACTTATCATCGTATTACACTGTGTGAATATCCAGCGTATTAGTTAATCTTTCCGGTGTTTTTATTTTGAATTCAATACCAATACCATTTATCTATTCATAATTCTCCTTGACACTCTTATCAGAGAATTTCCAGCGTAAGATTAAGTTTTTACTTTTAAAAGACTTATGCTATTATTTAAATTCATTGATTGTCGTTAAATCTAAGTATATCAGGTAAAGATCTGAAATGCCTAAATCAAATAGTCTTAACTTATCGCTTTCAGAGAACTCTTCATCAATATCATCAAGTAATATTTCCTTTCTGAGATTTGATTATAAAATTTCTTGGCAAAAGCTTTAAGACATTTTGGTTTGAATATTGATTTTCACATACCAGAACAAGCAATCCTAAGTATCATATCTGAAGGATTAATCTTTTTCTAATTAATTAAGATATTCTAATTTAACTCCATATCGTCTATTTAAGTTTAGCTTATTAAGGTCATTCTCTTTAATTCATATAGTTTTAGTTTCAAATATCTCTTGCCAAAATTTTTAGTAGTTGTAGAAGTACAAATCTTCATATTAATAATAATTTGGATGCTTTTCCTTCCAGTTTGCTTCAAAATTTACTTCAAGCGATTTGTTCTTTGATAAATTAAAAAGAGTTATGACTAGAAGTAGTCCTAAAATGCTTGCTTATTTTTTCATTTTTAAATTAAATTATAAACTTGATAAAATACATTTTTAAGTTTTAGTGATAATTTTGATAAATCTAATATTAAAATTTGTATTATTAAGGGAAAAAATTTTAACTTTAAATGGAAGACATCATGGATAATACTGAATAAAGAGATTACTACGGAGAAGGGTATTAGGAAGGCAAATTCTCAAAGTTAAAAGAACTGATTGCCTTTTAAGGCAGGGAAAACTCAGTATTCATTCATTCTCAGATTATTTTTTACAAAAATCTCTTAAATACTCTAAACACTTTATTACCTAAATTTACACTCTCAGAATCTAAAGTTGAAAAGTAATAAATTCATGAATTAAATTAGAATTTAGAGCAAAGAAGTAAGTTTAGATGATAGATGAGTAGATAAATGAGATTGAGGCTATAATTAAAAATCCCTAGGATATTAAAACAGTTTAGCATGTAATTGATTTATAGCAGGCTCTATAAAAAGTCTCAAGTAAC